ATTTGTTTTATTCAATTTTTTCAACACTGTCTTGTGATTTTCATTGTTGGAGTTTTGACATTCTAACAGGCATGTAGTGATATGTTTTAATTTTCAATTTTCTAATGACTTATGATTTTTTTAAGGGAAAGGGTTTATTGGGGAACACCTTACAGACCGGAGTGAAGGGGCAGTAAAGGAAAAAGGAGAGAAAGTATAAGAGAGAGAGCCAGAGGAGAGGAGCTAGTGAGGAGAGAAGATAGAGCAGAGAAGAGAGGAGGAGAGGAGAGCAGAGAGTAGGAGAGGAGAGCCAAGAGAGAAGAACCAAGAGAGCGCAGGAGAGAAGGGTCACGAGAGCATGTGTTCAGGAACAGGCCCTTTTAAAACTTTGCTTGAGGGCAGGCAGGGAAGCAGGAGCAGCGAATCCCATTAGGATGGGGGTGGAGCCTGGCTCAGGTAGCTGGGCCATGTGGCCACCTGGCTACAACTGTGCCAGTTTCCTAACATTCACCCCTTTTGTTTTTTATAAAGCAGGAGTTGTATGGGATTACATTAGTCCCAAAAGTCCAGGAGGGGTAGAGGGACAATGATCTGTCTTTAGAGCTACTTCCTGCTGACATGGGGCGACGAGGTACTCTTCACTGGCATGGGGTGATGTCTCAGGCCGCTGTCTCCTGGGTGAGGAGCTGAATATATTCCCATAGCAGCATTTGGTTGACCGCCTGGTTGCTGAAGGCCTTCGTTTGTTCCATTAAAACCTGCTGTAAACACTTAAACAGACATTGTAGTATAAAAGACAGGGTGAGAATAGCAACCAATGATCCTAAGAGTAGCATTAACCAGATAATGAGAGGATTTCTTAGGAAATGGGGGGGGGGGTCTCTGGACCCTTGTGGGGACAGTTTGATGGATGTGGCTTAAACTGATCCCAGCCAAGACTGGGAGAAAGGCCACTTAACTTTGCAGGTAGCGGGGTTTGTCTGTAGAGAAATTCTGAACAATTATGCAACATTAAGTAGGGGAGAGGACCATCCGTACAAACAGGTTGGGAGTAGAGCCATTGGTGGTAGAGTAGAGGTCATGATTACAAAGGAATGAGGCCAAGTGGGCTAGATACAAAGGACAGAGTTGTTATTAGAGAACCTAAGAAAGATGCTATCTAAACTACAACTAAGTTTTCTGATTGAGAGGCAAATAGAACCTGACAGAAGGGGCTTGATAATAATCTGGTGGGCTTTAGGCCTTATAAGTTAAGAGGCCCAGACCTATCTATCTCTTCACATGGGGTACATCCTAAGGGAGGTGTGAACCTCCTTGGGGAAGGCACCCTGTTGACTTCCATTACCTAGCTGGCCTGGGAGGAGAGCTGGCCAGGTAAAGGCAGGTGGCATCTCTAACAGGAAATTCACAGTTCTGCCTGCAATGTTACTCACCCTACTTGGCCATTTTCTCAGCTGCGATGGTCACTTTGGAAGCTGGCTGAATGAAAGGCTTTTCAGCTTAGAGGCAATAAGATCTGTGGCTCTGACCTGAGCGTCCTTCGACTCCAGGGCAGTTCCATTTCCAGTGATCCAACTCTTGGCTGGCAAGAGCTGCCAGGGCTCTTCATAAGCTGACCTCTGCTGAAGCCCAGGCATGACTTACGATATTGAACATCTTCTTTATATACTTATTTGCCATCTGTATTTCTTGGTGAGATGTCTGCTCAGATCTATTGTTAATTGTTTAGCTGGGTTATTCTTTTTTCTTATTGTTCTAACAGTCCTCTCTGTAATTTGGAAAGCAGTCTTTTTTCAGATATATCTTTTCTTCCGGTGTGTGCCATTTCATTGTCTTTTTTCACGGAGCAGTTTTATTTTTATCTTTTAATTTTTATAAAAAGCTTTTATTTATACTAATTTCATAAGTATAACTTTTGGATTATAGTGGTTCTTTCCCCCATACCCACCCTCCCACCCCAAACTGTCCCACCTCCTACTCCCTCTCCCATTTTCATTTTCAATTATCTTTACATACAGAAGATCAACTCTATACTGAGTAAAGATTTTAACAGTTTGCATCTACACACACACACATAAGTATAAAGTACTGTTTGGCCGGCGCCGCGGCTCACTAGGCTAATCCTCCGCCTAGTGGCGCCTGCACATCAGGTTCTAGTCCTGGTTGGGGCGCCAGATTCTGTCCCAGTTGCCCCTCTTCCAGGCCAGCTCTCTGCTGTGGCCAGGGAGTGCAGTGGAGGATGGCCCAAGTGCTTGGGCCCTGCACCCCATGGGAGGCCAGGAGAAGTACCTGGCTCCTGCCATCGGATCGGCGTGGTGCGCCGGCCGCGGCGGCCATTGGAGGGTGAACCAACGGCAAAGGAAGACCTTTCTCTCTGTCTCTCTCTCTCACTGTCCACTCTGCCTGTCAAAAAAAAAAAAAAAAAGTACTGTTTGAAGACTAGTTTTACCATTAATTTGCATAGTACAACTGTTATATATTAATGTTAGCTGTTGCAAAACACACTGGATACCAGAGTAAGGGAAAGGGTTTATTGGGGAACACCCAACAGACCAGAGTGAAGGGGTGGCGAAGGAAAAAGAAAGAGAATATAAGAGAGAAACAGAGGAGAGGAGCTAGCAGGGAGTGAAGAGAGATGAGAGGAGCTGAGTGAGAGAACCAAGAGACCAGAGGAGGAGGCTAGAGAGCAGAACCTAGAGAGCGCAGGAGAGAGGGGCCAAGAGAGAGGAGCCAAGAGAGCATGTGTTCAGGAACAGGCCCTTTTAAAACTTTGCCTGAGGGAGGGCAGGGAAGCAGGAGCAGCGAATCCCATTAGGATGGGGGTGGAGCCTGGCTCAGGTAGCTGGGCCATGTGGCCACCTGGCTACAACTGTGCCAGTTTCCTACCAACACCACATTAAGGACAGAGGTCCTACATGGGGAGCAAGTGCACAGTGACTCCTGTTGTTGATTTAATAATTGACATTCCTATTTATGATGTCAGTGATCACCCAAGGGTCTTGTCATGAGCTGCCAAAGCCTCTTGAGTCCACAAACTCCGACATTATTTAGACAGGACCATAATCAAAGTGGAGGTTCTCTCCTCCCTTCAGAGAAAGGTACCTCCTTCTTTGATGGTCCCTTCTTTCCACTGGAATCTCACTCAGAGATCTTTCATGTAGGTCATTTTTTGCCACAGTGTCTTGGCTTTCCATGCCTGAAATGCACAGAGCAGTTTTAAATTTTAGTGGAGTTCATCTTATTAATTATTTCTTTCATGGATCATACCTTTGGTTTATATTTAAAATGCATTTAATTTTATGAAAAGCTATTTTATGTAGTTCTTTTTTTTTTTTTTTTGACAGGCAGAGTTATACAGTGAGAGAGAAAGAGACAAAGAAAAAGGTCTTCCTTTTTCCATTGGTTCACCCCTCAAATGGCCGCTACAGCCGGTGCGCTGTGCCAATCAGAAGCCAGAAGCCAGGTGCTTCCTCCTGGTCTCCCATGTAGGTGCAGGGCCCAAGCACTTGGGCCATTCTCCACTGCCTTCCCGGGCCACAGCAGAGAGCTGGACTAGAAGAGGAGCAACTGGGACAGAATCCGGCCTCCCAACTGGGACTAGAACCCGGGGTGCCAGCGCCGCAGGCAGAAGATTAGCCAAGTGAGCCGCAGCGCTGGCCATTATGCAGTTCTATAAAAGACTTGATTTGTGGGGCTGGTGCTGTGGTGCAGCAGATTAATGCCTTGGCCTGAAGTGCTGGCATCCCATATGGGTGCTGGTTTGAGACCTGGCTGCCCCACTTCTGATCCAGCTGTCTGCTATGGCCTGGGAAAGCAGTATAAGATGGCCCAAGTCCCTGGGCCCCTGCACCTGCATGGGAGACCTGGAGGAAGCTCCTGGCTCCTGGCTCCTGGCTTCAGATCAGCAAGCTTCAGCTGTTGTGGTCATCTGGGAAGTGAACCAGTGGATGGAAGACCTCTCTCTCTGTGTGTAACTCTGACTTTCTAATAAATAGATAAATCTTTTGAAAAGACTTGATTTGCAAAGTATATAGTAAACTTTTTCAACATGATATCTTAAGAACTAGATTCAATAATTATTAAGTACAGTCATGAATGCTGTATACTTTATAGCTGCATAATGCACTAAGGAAAACCAGAGATAGAGTTTGTACTCATTTATTTGGTGTAATAGTGAACTAATGAATAAGTCCGTCTCAGTAGAAGTCTCCTGGGTGGACAGCGCTGTGATGTGGATAAAGCTACTGCCTGCAGTGCCAGCATCCCATATGGGCACCGGTTTGAGTCCTGGTTGCTCCACTGCCGATCCAGCTCTCTGCTATGGCCTGGGAAAGCATTAGAAGATGGCCCAAGTCCCTGGGCCCCTGCACCTGCATGGGAGACCCAGAAGAAGCACCTGGCTCCTGGCTTCAGTTCTGTGCAGCTCTGGCTGTTGCAGCCAATTAAGTAGTAAGCCAGCTGATGGAAGACCTCTCTCTTCCTCTCTCTTCTGCCTCTCCTCTCTGTGTAACTCTGGCTTTCAAATAAATAAACAACTCTTAAAAAGAAATTCTCTTGGTATTTGAGAAAGAGTATTGATATAAAATGAATTATTTGATCAAGAATGGTGTGTGTGTATGTGTGTATGAAAGATTTATTTATTTGTTTGAAAGGCAGAGTTACGGAGAGAGAGGGAGAGACACAGAAAGAGCAATCTTCCATATGCTGGTTCACTCTATAAATGGCTGCAACACGTAGGGCCAGGCCAGGCCACAGCCCTGTGACTGGAGCTTCTTCCGGGTCTCCCACATAGGTGCAGGGACCCAAGCACTTGGGCCATCTTTCACTGCTTCCCCAGGTGCATAAGCAGGGAGCTGGATTGGAAGTGGAGCAGCCAGGTCATAAACCAGTGCCCATATGGGATACCGGTGTCATGGATGGTGGCTTTACCTGCTATACCACAGTGCAGGCCCCAAAATGTGGTATTTAATATGTATCTGCAAAGAGAACAAGACTGATTGTAGCCCTTGATTATTCCCCAGAAAGAAGATGTTGAATTAACTGATAAAGCTTCTAATTCTTTTGCAACCAACTTGCCATCAAGATATATTGACAGAAAGAAATACATCAAAATTTCTGAAACAATAGAAAAGAAAATTTTACCTGAAATTAGAGGTTGGACCCCAGAACATAAAAAAAGGTAAGTTAAAAACTCTGAACCTAGTATATTTAATTATACTTTCACAAGTTTAAAAGTGCCAAAAGTGTAACCTACGTGGTCTTGTACAATGTATATGAAATCATTCCTGTTTATGATCATTCTTTTAGGAGCATGCTTTTAACTCTTGAATAGTCATTATTATAGTTTTTTGTATTTCTCTTTTAGCCACATGGAAGCATATAAGCTATCATATAATATTAGTTAGAGAGGAGAGTAATTGTATGTTTGTAAGTTGGACTTAAAAAGAATTTATAAAGGATAGTGAAGAAAATTGTATGTTTGTAAGTTGGTGTTAAAGAGAATTTATAGAGGAAACAAAAGATTCTCTTTGGATTTGGGTTTATGCTACCCATGAAATTGGACTATTTGTATCATTGCTAGTTCTTTTTTTGTGTGCTATATTGTCTGATGTCTTTTTGTTAGTTACAGAAAAATGCTCTCATTTCATGTACAACTAGGAGAAATGCTTGATCTGCATTTTTAATACTCTTGCATGCTTTTGGCCTTGTTGGAAGTCACTGGTTGGGATGCCCGCATTGCTGGAGTTTGTAGCCCATCCCTGTTTCCAATTCCAGCTTTCTTCTTCTTCTTCTTCTTCTTCTTCTTCCTTTTTTTTTTTTTTTTTTTGATAGGCAGAGTGGACAGTGAGAGAGAGAGACAGAGAGAAAGGTCTTCCTTTGCCGTTGGTTCACCCTCCAATGGCCGCTGCGGCCGGCGCGCTGCAGCCGGCGCACCGCGCAGATCCGATGGCAGGAGCCTGGTACTTATCCTGGTCTCCCATGGGGTGCAGGGCCCAAGCACTTGGGCCATCCTCCACTGCCCTCCCTGGCCACAGCAGAGAGCTGGCCTGGAAGAGGGGCAACCGGGACAGAATCCGGCACCCCGACCGGGACTGGAACCCGGGGTGCCGGCGCTGCAAGGCGAAGAATTAGCCTAGTGAGCTGTGGCGCCAGCCTCCAGCTTTCTTCTAATGTACAACCTGAGAGGCAGCAGGTGATGGCTCAAGCAGTTGGATCCCTGCCACCTACATGGGAGAACTGAGTTGAGTTCCTGGCTCCTAGCTTTGGCCCTTCCCAGCCCTGGGCATTGCTGGCATGTGGGGAGTGAACCAGTGGGTGGGATCACTCTGTGCCTGTTTGTCTCTCAAAGAAATAAAAATTTAAAAAATATCTAGAAAATGACTGAAACAGAAAAAATATTTATCAGAGAGAAGAAAGAATCTGAGAAAGCATTTAAGGTTCATCTCACTTTATTTTTTTCTGATTAAATGCTGATTTTACCAAATTGTTAGATTGAAGATTACTAGCACATTATGATCTCCTCTGCCTAGCATATGTTTCCACTTTATTTACTTATTTAATTTTTTAAAAAAATTTATATTTTTTATTTGCAAGGCAGAATTACAGAGAAAAGGAGAGTTAGATCTTCCATTTGTTGGTTTACTACCCAAATGGCCGCAACGGCCAGGGCTGGGCCAGGCCAAATTCAGGAGCCAGGAGCTTCTTCTCTGTCTCCCACCCCTGTGGGTGGCAGGGGCCCAAGCACTTGGACCCTCCTCTGCTGCTTTCTCAGGTGTGTTAGCTGGGAGCTGGCTTGAAAGTGGAGCAACTGGGATTTGAACAGATGCCCATGTGGGATGCCAGCATTGCAGGTGATAGCTTAACCCGGTACAACATAATGCTGATCCCTCCGTTTCATTTAAACTAATGTTTTCACCCCTATTCCTGTTCATTAGATAACAAAAGATAATATAATTATTTCTAGAAGACCACAATAAAACTTGCTACCTAGGAAGATGAAAGCTAAAAAATCAGATAGTAGAGTAGAAGTCATGATTATGCCAGAAAGAAGATTCAGATTCAGTAGGGACCTATGGGGATATAATGCCACAATAGGCTGTTGGTAATAACCTATTAATAAATCATAAAGTCCACTTAGAATGTCATTGCTAGTTTGTTCTTTTGCAGGAAATATATCAGAATGGTACTGAAGACATTAGAGTGCTTTTCACATAAGTATTATTTTGTGAAATTGTCTCTCTCTCTTTGTATTTGTATACTGACATTCAATAGAAAACATTTTTAGACCATGTGTTGTAGTCAAAATAGTTGAAAATCATTGCCTTTGAGCTTGGAGGGCTGCAGAGGGGATTAATCATAAAATAGTTTCAAGGGAGCTTGGAGCAAAATAATGGGGTCTCAGAGTAGGCATTTGAGGAATAAAGCATCAAAAGGTTAAGATGTGTGCTAAGGAAGAGGAGTGGGATACATGATATAAATTTCCCTTATTTCACAATTTTTCTTAGAGCTTAGTTTATCTAAAGCTGTTATAGATACCCACAATCTAGTTAGTTATTGTCCTGTATATCACACAAGCAGCCCTTAAATAGCAGATTGCTTTAGAAAGAAAGGACATTTCTTGGGGCTGGCACTGTGGCATAGCAGGTAAAGCTGCCACCTGCAGTGCTGGCATCCCATATGGTTCAAGTTCCAGCTGCTCCACTTCCAATCCAGCTTTCTGCTATGGCCTGGGAAAGCAGTGGAAGATGGTCTAAGTGTTTGGGGCCTTGTTTTTTTGTGGGAGACCCAGAAGAAGCTCCTGGGTTTGAATTAGCCCAGCTCCAGCCATTTGAGGAGTGAACCAGCAGATGGAAGACTTCTCTCTCTCTCTCTGCCTCTGCCTCTCTGTAACTCTGCCTTTCAGATAAATAAATAAATTTTGAAAAAAAAAAAAAAAGAACATTTCTGCTAATGAAATTTAAGTTTTGCATACAAGTAAGGAATCACCCAAAAATAATGAATTATAGCTCAGTTTGTATGAGTTCTGTGTAGGAACAAACCTTTGGGGTTTTCCATAGTGTTTCCCACTATGTTAAAATTACCTGAATATTTTTACCTCCCCTTGTGTTTGCTAGATGGCCACACTCCAGTACAATTAAACACAGTATTTGGGGGTGGGAAACAAGTATCAGTATTATTTTCGGCTGCTAGATGATTTCAATATAAACACAAATCTGGAATCTAGTCCATTTCAGAATCATTCCTAGTCTATAGGGTTCTAGGAACACAAAAATCATTTTAGGATTTTCCTTGAAATTTAGGTATATTGTAGATTATTTGAGGCAATATATTTCTAGGAGTCTTCTCAAATTTATTTCAGCCTAACTGTAGTCATCTCACTATTGTATAGTTTGTGGGATGTTTGTATTATGAAATTTCTTGACAGTGCAATAAGAAAATGCAGAAAAAAAGAGAAAGAAGAAACCAAACAGGAAAGCAGTATAAGGATTAAAAAATAGTTCAGTGGCTGGCACCACGGCTCAATAGGCTAATCCTCCTCCTGCAGCATCGGCACACCGGTTTCTAGTCCCGCCCGGTTGCCCCTCTTCCAGGCCAGCTCTCTGCTGTGCCCTGGGAGTGCAGTGGAGGATGGCCCAAGTCGCTGGGCCCTGCACCCACATGGGAGACCAGGAGAAGCACCTGGTTCCTGCCTTCGGATCAGCGCAGTGTGCCGGCCGCAGCGGCCATTGGAGGGTGAACCAACGGCAAAGGAAGACTTTTCTCTCTGTCTCTCTCTCTCACTATCCACTCTGCCTGTCAAAAAAACAAGCAAACAAACAAAACAAAACAAAAACAAAACAAAAAAAATAGTTCAGCTTCTAGTTCCTATACTTTAGTCTTTGAACATCATTAATTGTTAAAAGCTAATTTCAGGTCTGGTAGAGGAATTGTGCAGATGAGCCTGAAATAGCTTGGCTTCCAGAGATAAGGAAACTAACAAAGACTGCTTTTAGGATTGCAAATAAGGACCCAAAAGCCTCCTTGAAAGGCTCTCACTTTCTCCCATTAAAGATGAGAAAATTAGAGTACTATTAAGAATAATAATTACAGGGAATTAAACTGTATCAAATATATTTAAATCCATGTGTTCAAAATGATATCAAAATTACTTTGTTTTTATTGGTGGTTGTAAGTTAACCAAGCCATTGTTATGAAAAGTGGTAAATAAAACTAAAAATAGAACAATTATCTTGCCTTTCTTTATGAACTGTATCACCGGGTAACCAAATTATACAGGAGAGGTAAGTTTCTCTTGCTAGAAATATTCTAACTAATGAGTGAAGAAGAAAAGACAGACTTATAACCATTTTACAATCTATTGATTTATTTGATCTAGCTGTTATATATAAGGGAGAGCTAATAACACAGATAGTCAAACTGGATATTTTATGCTTTCTGATGGAAACACATCACCACCTATTTAGTGATTTTTAATTCTCCCCTCTCCAGGAAAATAGAACCTGAATATGACCAACCTTTCAGAATCCCAATATTCATGATGACACAGCAAAACCTAGACTGACAAATCTACAGGTCAAATGACCTAATATAGCACTAATGCTAATATAGTAAAAGACATAGAAGAACAACTTATAGATGAAAAGAGATTTAAAACACATAACCAGCTATGGTGTGAGGACCTAGTTGAATACTAAAGAAAATGTTAAAAAATGTATGGCCTTCATGAGACATCTGGAAAATTGAACAGTCTATTTGGTGATATTGAGAAATGATTGTTAATTTTTAGTTGTTATAATTGTGTTTCAGATTTTTAAAAAAGAGACACCTTTCAGAGATTTATATTAAAATCTTTACAATTGAAATAATATATTAGAATTTACTTTAAAATAATAAAGGATGGGAGTAGGGATAAAGATATAGATCGAATAGGATTTATCATTACTGGGTGGTGGGTACATGTGGAGATAATCATATTGTTCTGTCTACTTTTGTATTTTAAAATTCCATAACTAAAAGTTGAAAAGAAGAAGAAAAATCAAGAAAAACAATTTGAATTATTCCAATTTCTGTGCAATTTAGGAATATAACATCACTATACATATGTGAAGAAGAAAAATTCTCTGATTTATCAGGAGAAAATAAAATCAAGAAAAAGAAAAATTTACAAGTACAACTGCATAGGAAAACAACTGAGGTAAATAAAGATTCAGGAACTTTCCCTTCATCTTCAAGTGTTGTCCTTAGCCCTCAAACATTCCTGTCTATTTTAGCTCAAATGTTGAAAGATTGCAGTCTTGAATATTACTACTACTTTCTCTTCTTCTCTCCTCTCTTCTTCATCCTTCTCATCTTCCTTTCTTTTTATTAAAAAAGAACAAATAATACTTTCAGATTTTGGAAATTTTATTCTTCTTTCTCCATTAAACCAAAACATACACATGCACACATTTTTCTTTTTTATTGAGTTCTCTTTTAACATTTTTTCCTGTCTTAATGTTTTTAAGTGTTTCTTGGTTTGTGGCAGCATGGCTGCAACCTCCGCCTCAGTCTTCACATGGCTTCTCCTCTGTGTGTATCTCAAGTCTCCTTCCCTTTTCTTATAAACAATCTATCATTATTTAACTCAGCTAGAAATCCTTACCTTGATTACTTCTGCCAAACATTTTTTTTTCAAGTAAGGGTATGTTTACAGATTCCAGAGATTAGGACATGAACATATACTTTTGTGGAGCCCCCATTCAGCCTAGTACAGTCACTATGATAGGCTGACATATATATTTCTCTTTATTTCTGTTTAGATATTTAAATGTTAACAGAGATATAGCAACTGTACAAAATTGCATGTACTATGTGATGTCTTGTTGCATATATACACTGTAATATCCAATAAGGGTAAATATATTTAAATTCTTTCAAGAGTTTTTTTTTTTAAAGTAAAACAACCAAAATCCTGTCTTCTAGGTTTTTGTTAAAAAGAGAAATATATAGTACATTAATACTATCCACAGTCACCCCAGTGTGCAATATAACCCTAAGACTGTTTACTTCTGTCTAGTTATAACCTAGCACACATCAATCAGATTTTCTCCAACCTTCCCTCCATAGTTCCCTCCCCAGCTTCTGGTAACTATAAGTGTATTTTTAACTTCTATGAGATTATATATTCTTTACACTCAACAAATGAGTAAGATCATGTGATATTTGTCTTTCTGTGCTTGGCTTACTTCATTTAACACCATCCATATTATTGTAAATGACAAAATTTCATTCTTTTTATGGCTGAGTAATGTTCCATTATGTATAGGGATCACATTTTCTTTATCCATTTGTTGGTGGATAGGTTGTTTCCAATTCTTGGCTATTGTGAATGGTGCTGCAGTAAACATGGGAGTGCAGAAGTTTCTTTGACAAATATATTTCATTTCTCTTGAATATATACCTAGGAGTAAGATTGCTAGGTCATATGGTAGTTCTATTTTTATTTTTTAAAAAAGGAACCTCCATCCTGTTTTCCACAAAGGTTGTACTAATTTACATTCCTGCCAACAGTGTCCAATACCCTTGGCAATACTTGTTATCTTTTGTCTCTTTAGTAATAGTCAATCATTTTGTTTTTTAAGATATTTATTTATTTTATTATTTGAAAGGCAGAGTTACAGAGAGGCAGAGGCAGAGAGAGAGGGAGGGAGGGAGAGAGAGAGAGACAGAGACAGAGAGACACAGAGAGAGAGGTCTTCCATCTGTTGATTCACTCCCTAAATGGCCTCAGCGGTTGGAGATGGGCTGATCCAAAATCAGGAGCCAGTAGCTTCCTATAGGTCTCTCACATGGGTGCAGGGGCCTTTGGCCATCTTCCACTGCTTTCCCAGGCCATAGCAGAGAGTTGGACCAGAAGTGGAGCAGCCAGGACTTGAAGCTGTGCCTGTATGGGATGCCAGCACTGCAGGTGGTGGCTTTACCTGCTACACCACAGCAATGGCCCTGTAATAGTCAATCTTACTGAAATGAGGTAATAATATCTCATTGTGGTTTTGATTTGCATTTTGCTGATGATTAGTGATGTTGAGCATATTTTAATGTACTTGTTGGTGACTTGTATATCTTCCTCTGAGAAATACCTGTTTAGACCTATTACCTTTTTAAAAATTGGATTACTTTGTTTTTGCTATTGAGTTCTATATGTATCCCAAATATTAATCCCTTGTATAAGATTGCAAATATTTTCTTTTTACTCTGTTGATTATTTCCTTTGCTGTACAGAACTCTTTGATGAAATGCTATTTGTCTATTTTTGTTTCTATTTTCTGTGCTTTTAGGGTCTGATTTAAAAGATCCTTGCCCATTCCAATGTCCTGAAGTATTTTCATATTTTTTCTAATAGTTTCAAAGTTACAATTCTCACATTTAGGTCTTTAATCCATTTTGAGCTGATTGTTGAACATGGTTAGGGATAGGGATCTAGTTTTATTCTTCTTCCTGTGGATATACAGTTTTGCCAACACTGTTAAAAATGGTATTCTTTTCCCAAAGCAAATTCTTAGCACCTTTGCCAAAGATCAGTTGACTATAAATATATGGGTTTACTTGCGGGGTCTCTATTTTGTTCCATTGGTCTATGGATCTGTTTTTATGCCAATAGCATGCTGTTTTGATAACTGTAGCTTCATACTATATTTTAAAGTCAAGTAATATAGGGGCCAGTGCTGTGTGGTAGTAGGCTAGGCTTCTGCCTGTAGTGCTGGCATCCCATATTGGGCACTGGTTCAGTCCCAGCTGCTTCTCTTCTGATCCAGCTCTCTGGCTTCAGATCAGCTCAGTTCCGGCTGTTGGGGCCATTTGGGGAGTGAACCAGTGGGATCTTCTGATCTTTCTGTCTTTCCTTCTATCTGTCTATAGCTCTACTTCTCTATTTTATTTTATTTTATTTTATTTTATTTTATTTTATTTTATTTTTTTGCAGAGTGAACAGTGAGAGAGACAGAGAGAAAGGTCTTCCTTTTCCGTTGGTTCACCCCTCAATGGCCACTGTGGCCGGCGCGCTGTGGCTGACGCACCGCGCTGATCCAAAGCCAGGAGCCAGGCACTTCTCCTGGTCTCCCATGTGGGTGCAGGGCCCAAGCACTTGGGCCATCCTCCACTGCCTTCCTGGGCCACAGCAGAGAGCTGGACTAGAAGAGGAGCAACCGGGACAGAATCTGGCGCCCCAACTGGGACTTGAATCCTGTGTGCTGGCACTGCAGGTGGAGGATTAGCCTATTGAGCTGTGGTGCCGGCCAATTTTTTTTTAAAAGGGAAGGTAGTATAATGTCTCCTGCATTGTTCTTTTTGTTTAAGATTACTTTTATTTGGGGCCTTTTGTAGTTCCATAGAAATTTTAGTGATAATTTTTCTAGCTCTGTGAAAAATGTCATTGGAAGCTTGATAGGGATTGCATTGAATCTATAAATCTCTTTGGGTTGTATGCATATTTTAATGATAATGATTCTTCCAATCCATGAAAGTGGGATATCTTTCCATTTCTTTGAGTCTTCTTTAATTTCTTTCATTGATGAGGTATAGTTTTCATTTTAAAGATTTTTCACACTTTTGGTTAAAATGATTTATTTATTTATTTATTTATTTTTGGTAACTATTGGATTCTGAAACTTGGATTAAATGTATTAAAATATTTTTATCTTGTACTAGAGTTTGTTGCTCTGTATGATTCCTGTATGCATTGAATATTGTAATTTATTACTGTCAGATATTTGTAGACAGTTTCTTATTTTCATATTGAATGTGAACTAGCTCTTGATTTCATTGATTTTTTTCAGTTTCTATGCCATTTATTTATGCTCTGAGTTTTATTATTTCTTTCCTTCTACAAATTTTGGGCTTGATTTGTTCTTGTTTTTTCTAGTACCTTGAGGTACAGTGATAAGTTGTTTATTTGAGATATTTCTGGTTTTTTTTTTTTTTTTTTTTTTTGTGATACAGGCATTGATCTACTTCTACCTTAGTACTGCTTTTGCTGTATCCCATAGGTCTTGGTATGCTATGTTTTCATTTTCATTCACTCCAAGATATTTTCAAATTTTCTCCTTGATTTCTTCCTTGATTTATTGATATTTCAAGAGTAAGTTGTTTAATTTTCATGTATTGTGTAGTTTCCAAAGTGTCTTTTGTTATGATGTCTAGTTTTTTTTTTTTTGCTTTGTGATCAGAAAAGGTGCTTGATATGATTTGTATTGTTTTAAATTTGTTGAGGTTTGTTTTGTGGCTGCTGTATGACCTATCCTGGAAAACGTTCCATGTGCTATTGAGAAGAATGTACATTCTGCAGCTGTTGGATTAGAAGTTCAATAGATGTCTGTTAGGTCCAATGGATCTCTGGTTGAATTTCACTCTGCTGTTTGTTGATTTTCTGTCTAGATGATTTGTCCATTTCTAAAAGTGTGATGTTAAAGTCACCTACTATTACTGTATGGGAGTCTATCTTTCCCTTTTGGTTTATTAATACTTTATATGTATAGTGGATGTACCCAATATTGGGGTACCCACAGTTTGATTTTTGGTGTTACATTTGACCCCTTTTAATATTGTCTGTCTCTAAATGTTTTAATGTAGTGGGTATAATTTTTTAAATCTTCACAATAAAGATTTAAATGATTTATATACCATGTTTATAATATGAAAGCATTCTGAATTTGTTATGATTATACTTTACCAGTAAGTTTTCTGCCTTCTGATATTTTCTTTTTCTTTTTACTTGTTAATATCTCTTTGTTTCAGTTTGAAGAACTCCCTTTAATGTTTCTTATAAGACAGGTCTGCAGGTGATAAATTCCCTTAGCTTCCGTTTGGGAATGTCTTTATATCTTTTTCTCATATCTGATGGATACCTTTGTTGGATTTAGTATTCTTGGCTGGCAATTTTTCTCTTTCAGTGCTGTAAAAGTCTTAACCCACTCTCTTCCTGGCCGCTAAGATTTCTACTGAGAAGTCTGCAGTCAGACAAATTGGGATCTCTTTATATGTTATTTGCTTCTTTTCTCTTGCAGCTTTGAGAATTCTCCCTTTATTTTTAACCTTGGAGAGGTTGATTATAATATGTCTTTGGTAGACTTGGTTGAATTGACTCAGATTGGTGACCTTTGACCTTCCTGTACCTGGATAATGATATCTTTCTCTAGGTTTGGGTAATTTTCTGTCATC